TGATGTGAATTTGAATAAATGGGAGAAGTGTGTACAAGAGAAGTAATGGAGAACATGAGGTTGGGTGATATAAAATGAATGGGTATAGCTATGACGATAGTAAAGCAACGTAGAGGTTTTTGTTTTTTTATATGGAGAGATACATAGTTAAGTTATTTATGGAATAAAGCTATGTTGTATGTTTATACGCTGAAGATATGTATATGTGTATGTATATTTTTGTATATTGAAATAAAAATATATTAAAGTGACATTAAACCCTCAGATTTTTTAACATAAAACAATACTGTAATGTGTGCTTTACTGTAATCCATGGTAGTTTCCCTTCTCTTTGCTGCTCTTCCTTTTAAATCTGTATCTGTTCTCATGCTGGGCAGAACTTCTGTTTTGCAGCAGACTGCCTTGTCTCTGGAACGGATACATGGTGTCTGTGTGAAGGTTCACAACCTGAGCCAGCACTACAGGAAGAGGCACTCAGCTGCAAAGGGAAGTTCTCCCCCAGCATAAGAAGACATGAGGATTTAAAAGGAAGAGCAGCAAAGAGAAGGGAAACAACCATGGATTACAGTAAGGCACACATTACAGTATTGGTTTATGTTAAAAAATCTGAGGGTTTAATGTCACTTTAACTCAATTATGGAGGAGGAAGAAGAAAAGTGGTGCCATACTTGGGAGTTCCATGCTTGCCATGGGTCCATTCTCACATGGGCTCAGGCGGTGATAAGTACTACTCCCCCCAGACAGTATCCACCAATAATTCTGGCTCCTCCCACAGACTGGCCATGTGGTACACAGATGAGTCCTGTCACTTTAAGGACAACTCGTTTGTCTTGTGTATATAAAAGACACCTGTCCACAGAATCTCCCCACCATGGGCTACACCAAAGAGCTGTCAGAGGACGTTGGGGACAAGATTGTAGACATGCACAAGGCTGCAATGGGCTACAAGACTATCAGCAAGAAGCTTGGTGAGAAGGAAACAACTGTTGGAGCGATTATTCGCAAATGGAAGGAATACAAGAGAACCATCAATGGCCCTCGGTCTGGATTTCCTCTCATGGGGTAAAGGTGCACAGACACTTGCCGATTATCGTACGACAATCGCGGGTGATCGTACGATAATCGGCAGGTGTATGGAAGGCGTACGACCATTTCTACTGTAAGGTTGCACGTCTTTTGTCTTACTAGCACGCTGGAAAACCTGCGAAAATAGTACAATTTTTGGCGGGTTGGTGGCGTGCTCAGAAGACAAATGCCGAACAGGCCGGTGTACGCAAGCGCACACTGCCGGCTCAGCATTGGAATCATCGGAAGCCGTCTGGAGGATCGCGATGATCACAAGTACGATCTGCCTGTCCAAGATGGGCAGAACGTACAAAATGTTAATTAACTTACAACCATCGCACAACGAAAGTCGTGCAATGGTTGTAAGGTGTATGGGCAGCTTAAGGATGATCATGAGAAAAGTGAGGGATCAGCCCAGAACTACACGGGAGGAGCTTGTGAATGATCCAATCCTATTGATGAAGAGAATGATATCATACACCACACATGTTCTTTTAAGATACAGCAGTTTAATTATTGTCTCATATGAAGGCATTTTGATTAAATACTATTAATTTCAGAACTTTTGTATAACAATTGCATAATATATATATGTGGAAAAGTTTAATTAAAGCTTAATAAGTGATACAATCAAGGGGTCGAGAACCTATTTCCTACCAAAGCTGCTAACCAAGAGCTGAGCTTGTCACCTTAAAGGAAACCGGTACTTAAAAAACAGGGGGAAACTGCATTTTCTTAGGGCCCATTCATACCAGAAGCATTGGCTTTAAATGGGCACAGTCCAAACCACCGCATGTGCTAAAAGAAGTACGGCATGCATTACTTTTGCACAGTGCTGTGTGGTATGCCACGGTGCAGCCGCATTGGACCGCACTGTGCTATTAGAACTTCATAAAAAGTCACCCATGACATTATGGTAAGGTTCCAACAAGGAGACTGTGTGATGCGCCAGGATAACACGTCAGCACTTTCCTGGCAATGCACACGTAGCATTATTTTGGTCCAGCTTGACTCTTTGTGAGTAAGCGCATGCCATACATGATTGGTCCATGGAGATCCTGTAGCAGCCGGAGCTACTACAGTGGTGAGAGATCTTCCAGGTCCTGTAAGGTGACTTCCTCTCTACTCTGAAAACAAAGGGGGTCACTCACTTACAGCTATCATTCAGAAGCCCTCAATGAATACAAGGCATTATCTGGTTGGGTGAGGGGCGGTGACATCACAATCCACCCCTCGTCCAATCAGAAAACGTCTTCTATTCATTATACAAAAAATACTAGGCCACTACAGTGCTTTACAAGATAGCTGGCGTGCATGCAAGTCGATAGGAAGCGTCTGCAGAAAATAAGCAGCACTGAGATGAGAGGAAAAAGAGTAATAAGAAAAGTGAAAATAAGTCTGTTACTTGTTACAACTAACCGCGGCGGAATATAGAGGAGGAAATATCACAATACAAATGGGGAGGGGGAGGGGGTTGTAAATGGAGTCAGGTAGGCCATGAGGGAAGTATAATAAAAGATCAGGTAAATACATTGTGAAGATTGGTCGGGGCAGACTCGGGAATGTAATAATACCGTGTTTCCCCAAAAGTAAGACACGGTCTTATATTTTTTTTGGCTGAAAAAAACACACTAGGTCTTATTTTCGGGGCAGGTCTTACTCTTTTTTTTTTCATGTACAACAATCCAAAATTAAATAATCCAAAATGGCGGTCAAGAATAGGGTGATCAGGGCAATCGGGTGCCGTACCTTTCCAAGAGCAATTTGGTAACCAATCGCTGGTCAGAAAGAGCAAAGCGCGCTTTCACTATGAATTCCTCACAGGTGGAGTGCATTTGGTATGACTCCGCATGTGACAGGAGACGGCTCTATTGAGGAAACATCGGCTTACGCGGCTCTGCTCCCTCCGGTGCTTCCTCTAGCGCTGGCTTCATTGGCACCGCTGATTCTCTCCCCCGGCTCTTCAAGTTGCCCCTTATGCCACCACCGGTGCTGGGAATGGTCACAACTAGGTCTTATTTTCGGGGAAACAAGGTATGTAGTGAGGTACAGGAGTACTGTAAATGTTGAAAGTATGTACGTGGATGTAGAATTATGTTGTCGTAAATCATTATAAACTGTGAAAATAATAAAGAGGATTTAAAGTTTTTTTAAAAATGACAATAGCGATTGTTTATGATTTTCAGTATATTATATAATGCTAAATGTCACCTGTTTTGTTCTTCAATAACCAGTGCTTTGCTTAGACAGAACATTGGATTCCCCCAGAACAAGAGTCTGGGAATTCTGTCTGGGCAGATAAAAGAAGGGCAAGCTATACTCATCACAATGAATACATATCACGAACTAGAAGCGGGCTATCTAGACCAAAGCAAGTCATTCTTCAGCATCCTTGAGATTTTTAGGTTCTTTCTCATGCTCGTGGTAGACATCGGTAATGTAGATGTTAGGCAGACAGAGGCCCTCATTACTGTAGTTTCCACTACCTACTACAATCTCCCTGTGGGTGGGGGTCCCCAGATCCTTCACTTATTGGTGGGGGTCCCCAGATCCTTCCCTTATTGGTGGGGGTCCCCAGATCCTTCCCTTATTGGTGGGGGTCCCCAGATCCTTCCCTTACGGGTGGGGGTCCCCAGATCCTTAAAGGAGAACTATGAGGTGAGTGATTTTTCACTCATCCTCATAGTTCTAGCCGACCTGTGACAATGAGACTGTCACAGGTCGGCTCAGTAGATCGGGAAGTGAGCGAACACATACCGGCGCTCGCTCACTTCTCGATCCTGTCCCTCCCCTGCCGTGACAGGGGAGGGACTGGATTCCCCGCTCCAATTCTCCAGCGCTGACTGGCGGAACGGACAGGGGAGGGGGCGGGTACAGCTGGCTCTGCCTTTAGATAGGCAGAGCCAGCTGTCACTCATGCAGCTGGGCGGATCCAGAGAGCTAGATCCTTTACTTACGGGTGGGGGTCCCCAGATCCTTTACTTACGGGTGGGGGTCCCTGATCTGACTTATTGGGCAGTAATGAGTCTATGTCTATGAATTCATAGCCCTGGGTGATCTGCAATATAATATTTGCCACAGTTGTTTTTTTCATTTTGATTAAAGACGGGAAGTTTTTAAAAGCCGTCTTTCCCCTCGTCAAGGACATTAAAGCTGCCCACCTACAGCTTAAATTTTGTCCAATTGCTGTTGAATCGGCTGAAAAATTGAGCTGTGGGAGGCCCTGCTGGCCCTACCCGGCTGGACAAAAGTTGAAGCAGCCTTTGCCAGAGGAATCGGGTGGGAAAATAGGCGGCCAAACTGTGGCTGAAGCCAATCAGCGGCAGTCCCTCAGCTGGGAGTGTTGGCTGTCAGAATAAAAGAACTGGCAGGGGAGATTCCTCCATCGATGGTGTTTAGTGTGGATGGAGGAATCTGTTAAACTGGCTGTACGCTGCTCAAAAAAAACTACTGCAGAAATGTGAGCAGTGTGTGGCCCCATTTAGGACCCCCCTTCCAACAAAAGTCAATTTTTCAACAAACTTTTCTCAAAAGGAGCTGCTTCTAAAAATTCTCAGTCAACCAGTGACTGCACAACCGCTGCTTTCAGAATACACAGTTACACAGGCAGAGCGCAGTGGGTTGTGCTGCGTTTTTTGCCGCGTTTTGTGATGCATTCAGGGCCACATCAACATTATGGTTGCCCTCAAAGGGCCTGTAAGACTATATAAAATGTATCTAATCTTTATAATTGCCTCTGCATTCGATTATCGCTGGTTATAGTAATAACTTAATACCTAGATCTGAAAGTAGAAGTCTAGGAAATGGCCTGGTGGGCCGGATTCGGGCCCTGGGCCTTGAGTTTGACACATGTGGGTTAGGGCATCGGACAGTGTGCCATTCAACAACACCTGAGGTAAGAATCGCTATTGGTGGGCTGGAACAACAATAAAAATATCCAGTGGTTACACAATCCTTTAAAACGTTCTTAGACTTTTCTATCCATTTGTCTTGAAGAATCGATGGCGGTCTAGATGAAGAAGAAAGCAGAAGGCATAATGGAACTGTAGGATGTCGCAGACTTTGGACCAGAAATGGCCGGTCAGTGTCTGAAACAGGAAATACCGGGCCAGCCAATGGTCAAGAAGCTTTAATCCAACAAAACCGAGGCAGGAGATCAGTGCGAAGATCAAGTACTTCTTCGAGGAAGAGTTCCCATGCCTGTTCTGTAGTCTGACTCCTGAAATCACCGCCCATAGGATATGTACAGACAGGGCTAACTCAAAGCCTTGCCGGTGAAATATACTGAGGCCATAACTGATTAACGACAGGCACTCTATCAGCAAGAACCGCTGCCGGCTCCAGTTCCCCAGTATAGAGTTGCACCAGATGATTGCCCATGCAAAGATCGGCAAGGTAAACCACTGATCGAGAACGGCGAGCCGGTGATTCTGGGTTGATATCCGCAGCCACTGGACCGGGCCGTAGGCCAAGGCCATCCAGGAAAAGATGTTCTTCAGATAACGACCAGTCCCGTGTTTAACTCCAAGGGTTTTCTCATCTCGCACAAGCCAGTATATACCCAAAAACACGTATCCGAGGTTGACGAGGGAGTTGAAAGGCATTGATAGAAAAACAGGAAGTGCAGAACTTGGTTTCTCGGCATAATGACTAAATCCTAGTTCTGTAGTGACAGTATCAAACACACCTATGCACACGGTCACCAGGCACAGGGTGAAACCTCCTGCCACATGCCAGAAGGAGCTGCCTGGCTCTAGAATACCTGCTGCTACTGCCATGTCTCGGAAATGATACCCTTTTGATTCACAGTAACAGAGAGGGCTGTGAAAATTGCTGAGCAATGCAGATCCTGCTCACAAGTCGCAAGTAGGCAGGGACGTCTTTAACGTATTATCCTCCACCACCGTTCAGGTTTCAGCTGACAAAGCTCTTCCTGAATGTGGCTATGCAGAGAGGCGTCCCAGTGCTGCGGATGTCAGGATTGGCTGCATGCATTCACTTGCACTTTGCACAGTCCCCACTCCCCAGCCAATCAGGTTGTGTGGTCAGAGACAGCAAACTGGAGAAGGGTTTTTTGTTCTTCTTTAGGATGCATTTTGTTGGAGCTGGCTGGCTGTCATTGAAATATTCCATTAGATTGTTCACGTGTAAGAAGACATGGAACCACTTCTCATATCATTTAGATCACTCTAGAGACGTATATGTTAAAGGAATTCATGTTTTGACTGTAAAGGATGTAAGAAGGGAGAAAACAAAGCAAACCCTCCTTCAGACAGAAGGCAAATGCTGTCCCTTCTTTGTAAAGCTGGTCATACACCAGTAGAATTATATATTAAAAAAATATATATATATTAGGGCTGCGGATATTAACGATTAATTTCTTGATTAATCGTTAAACTTTTTGATCGATTAAAATTCTTTTGATCGCTAATGAAAACACTCACCTCTCCGCCGTCTTCCGGGAGTCCCGTCGGAGATCCGGTGACTTCACGGACATCGACGTCACCGGACTCCTCCCCCTTCCCCAAATGGCTCCGTCGGCTAACGATGGGAAAGGGGAGGAGTCCGGTGACGTCGTTGTCCGTGACGGCCGACGGAGCCACTTGGACCGATGAGTTTGTCCAAGAAACTTTCTGCAAGAGCGCCAGCCAAGACATTGGCCTATACATTGGCCTATACACATACAGCACAGCATTTACAGTAATAAAATGAACTAGGATCCCACTAATCCAGCGCGTTATTATTCTGAGTTGCCCCACTCAAGCGGCGGCCATATTGAGTGGGGCACGTGAGATTAATAACGTGCTGGATTAGTGTGATCCTAGTTCATTGCTGTGCTGTATGTGTATAGGCCAATGTAGTTGGATCTGTATGTGCGTTATAATTGATTGTAAAAATTTTGATTAATCGAACACGAACATTTTAATCAGTAACAGCCCTAATTATATATATATATATGTATATACAGGAAGTCCCCGAGTTACAAACATCCGACTTACATACGACTCCTACTTACAAACGGAGGCTATTACTGTACAGCAGGGGTAGTTGTAATGCTATCGCACTCATGCCGACAAGGAGTGCCCACCTTTTTGGGTCTCTTTTTGTGTCTGGTGTTCGTAGTACTGTAGGTACATTACAGGAAGTTGGCTCTTGTTAGACATGCAGACGAGGGGTGCCCGTCTCTTCTTCCGGGTCACTGTGAGGTCTTTACTGCTGTCTGTATCCTCATTAGATAGATTTAATCTCACTTCCTGTCCTTGAGACAACAGGAAGTGAGAGGAAATCTACAACTAGGAAGGGGAATTCACTCCTGTAAGAGTGATCATGGGGAAAAGGTGTCTCCACTGAAGCTTTATCACCAATCCTTGTTTCCACAACAACCCAAAATTTTCAAAATCCAATTGTCACAGGGACAGAAATTGTTTACATTTGTCCGGCACCTGACAGGACTTAGCTGTGAGTCATGATTGGGCAAAATCATCCTTACTTTGCCCAATCATAGCTCTTACAGTGCACTGCCGTGATTGAGCAAAGTCTTGCACCAGGCCTGTGGTCAGGTGCATTGCTTTACCCAATCAGGGCTTCACAAGGCACCGTGCAGTGCGCAGTGCCTTATGGGGCGCTCGAACAGCCCACCGAACACCTGAACTACCGATGTTCGAGTCGAACTGTTGTTAAACTTGAACATCGTGCCCATCCCTACTGACAAGTAAAAGAAAAAAAAAAACATACAATGTACAACTATTCCTGTCAGTCACGGCCTCACAAGAAGCTTACAGTATATTGTCTCCACCACCAGGGGCGTCCCTAGGCTTTTTCCCGCCTGAGGTGGCCGAGGGGGTGCGGGTGTTGCTGGATGGTGCTTGGTGGAGAGTGACACCACTAAGAGCCAGGTGGGGAGATGTGTAAGGGCTCTGCATCTCCCCGTCCAGCTCTTAGCAACCCTGGCTGCTCTGATGGCGTACGCCCGAGCTCCTGGCAACCATTGACATCACTGGTTGCCAGGAGCTCTGCAGGACGCCGGCAAGAGGGTCCTTAACACATCTCTCAGCAACCTGCTATGCCCTGGCCGGGAATGGGGGCAGCAGACACACATTGTGCAGCAAAGCAGCCGTGCCGCTCTGCCTGCTGCCCTCCCACGCGACCCAAAGAGATGCCGCCTGAGACCTTATTGAATTGGTGACCCTGCCTTCCACAATCACACGCATACTGCAATTTTGGGTGGACATTGATAAATCCAAAAGCTGCATAACCCAAACGAAACCCTCACAAACACGGAGAGAGCATATGCACTCCATGCAGACAGTTCCTGGTGGGAACTGAAATGTAAATGTTAGTGCTGAAGAGACACAGTGCTAAATGTTGTTTATTTAGTTTGGCCCAAAATAGTTGTTTTTCCTTCAAAGCTACTTATGATAACACCCCACTGTGTGTGTGCTGACATACTATTGGTTGCCATGGAAACACAGCAAGTACAGCCAGGTCATGGTAGGTGGGAGGAGCTTCATCTGGTGTCTCTTATCACCACCGTGACACCAAATGTTGTCACACACTGACTTATTCATAGCAGCTGTATAACAATTGAGCCGGTGTTGGCTAGGACTCGTGGGCGGAGCTCGGTCAGATTGGGAGGCAAACGTACTGCTTTCTCTGAAGCTATAATGCCCTTTCATGGATCTCCACAAGTCCTAAAGTGTATGTATAGACAAAACTTATTTTTTAGTTTTGCTTAGAGTAGGGAAGGGATGGAACCGGTATCAGGTTCATTTCTGTATGCTGCCAGGAAGGATTCCATTCACTTCCTGTCTTGGAGACGCAACAGGAAGTGAGAGGAAACCTACACAACGTAAGGAAAATTTCTGTCTTAGTTGTCCACAAATTGTTCCCACTGAAGGAGTTTACTTTGCCTCTCGCTCTCTCTCTCATGAGAACTCCAAAATGTAGGATTTCCACTTATTTTCTGTCTCTGTGACAATGGTCACCGGTCTAAGGCTAGGTTCACACCAGATGCAAATCTTTTAGTTTCACTTTTAAACTTCTCGCCGGCTTCGCCCCCCTGCGACGCGTTTTGCAGCGCGTTTCTACGATTCACCTGGACAGTTCAGGTTTTTAATGCTTCACTTGAGTGTTCGGGTTTCGCTTGAAGAAAAGGTGGCAACCCTAGTCCTCACCCATCACTGGGGAGGGGGCAGCTCTCATATGAGGATGCAAATCTTTCTCCTCTGCCAAGATGGTCGACTCTGGGGACACATTGTAGAACAAATAGGGAAAAGTCTAGCAGATGACAATAGGCTAGTCCTTCATCACGTGATTGCCTATTCAAGCACAGTATTTTTTTGTTGCTGTCTGGAAGTAGGAGTGATCCCGTTATGATTTGATTTCTTTCTACCTTAATTATCCTTCTTCATCCCTTAGTTATTTGACTCGCCTTCTCCCTTCTAATTCTTCACTACGCCCGTCCCACACATCTGTTTTTCATCTTTGTTTTGTTTCTCTGAAGGCGATTTCCATGTTCAGCCATCAAAAAGTAAAAACCCCGCACTATTTTATTCACCGATGGCCGCCCCTCCAGGGACCCCTAATTGAATGTTACTCAGGACCTTGGGGTCACTCGGCACATGGTAGCTTCCTGTGGCTCAGGAGAAAGCCAGCATTCAGAACCTGCCATCAAAGAGACTGTACAATATATATATATATATATACACACACTACATTGCCAAAAGTATTGGGACGCCCCTCCAAATCATTGGATTCAGGTGTTCCGTGACTATTCCTTGCTTCTACACATTCCGCGGTCACCTGTTAGTGGCATTATAACAAAGTGGAAGCAACTGGGAACAACAGCAACTCAGCTGTCCCTTCCTGTTCCAACATGACTGCGCACCAGTGTACAAAGCAAGGTCCATAAAGACATAGATGGGGGAGTATGGGGGGGAGGAACTTGACTGGCCTGCACAGAGTCCTGACCTCAACCCCATAGAACACCTTTGGGATGAAATAGAGCGGAGACTGTGAGCCCGGCCTTCTCGTCCAACATCAGTACCTGACCTCACAAATGGTCCAACATTCCCATAGACACCTTGTGGACGCCTTCCCAGATGAGGTGAAGCTGTTATAGCGGCAAAGGGCGGAGCCAACTCAATATTGAACCCTACAGACTAAGACTGGGATGCCATTAAATATCATGTGCGTGTAAAGGCGTCCCAATACTTATGTATTATAGACTAAAGGCCTTGTCAGATTCCTCGCATCGCCTTTCACCATCTCGTGGAGTCAATGCCAAGAAGAATCGCCGCAGTATTGAAGGCAAAAGGTGGCCCAACGAAGTACTGATGTGGTGGTCATAATAATCTGGCCACTCAGTGTATGTATATTTATTGTAGGGCTGCGGAAATTAACGGTTAATTTCTTTTTTGATCGATTAAAATTATTTTGATCGATCAAAAATGAAACCGCTCACCTCTCCGCCGGCTTCCGGGAGTCCCGTCACGGACGTCACCGGACTCATCCCCCTTCCCCAAGTGGCTCCGTCGGCTAACGAAGGGGGGAAGGAGTCCAGTGACGTCGATGTCCAGTGACGTCACCGGACTCATTCCCCCCTTCCATTCGTTAGCCGATGTCTTACCCAACCTGCATGAGCAATTCAGCCAGTGGCAGCATTTCGATCCAGATCTGCTCTATATCCACATATGGGTGCTGTGTTCTTTTGTGAGATCTATAGGTGGTGGTTGGTGTATTGCAGAATATCACTGAGCAGCACGCCAAGTTAAGAATTTGTTGTAAACTCATTCTGTTTTTAATATCCTTTCTTTGAAGATTGAATGCATGCAGAGCACTTACAAGTAGTTATGTAGCCCTAATCTGAGGTTTATGAGGAGACTCCATCTTTGGTTATAGAGCTTCGATGGTTTTGAAACATGAGATTGACAAATAGACGGAAGCAGCTACATCTCTACAGATG